GGAGATCATTATTGTATCGACTAGCAAAGAGTGACGAATTTATTTACTGATCAATGGTTTACTAACACTAATACTAACACTAAAAAATATTGTGATTGCCAAGATTTCTTATTTATTTACTGTGACTATTGAAATACATGTTCTAGAGGCATTATTCTTATTATTATATGAATTTATTGTATCTGTATAGATTTATAGTTATTGCATTATTCTACTACTCCTAGCACTAGATTATTATTGTTATTGATTCAGATATTTATATTATTTGATATTTTTGATTCATTATACTAATATTGAGCATGTAATATATTGAGCATGCGTTATAGAATGCCTGGATATCATGTATACAATTATATATGATCTTATTACATTGATTTATTTTTGATAGTCTTTACCGATATTTTGATTTGATATTTTATATGATTTATATACTGATTGGTATTATTAAAACGATAATTAATTTATAGATTTGACACTCATATTGGTTTACAACTTTACTAGCTTATATGCCATAGTGTTTAATTATTTACAGATTCCACTGCTATTGCATTTGAGATTTACTATTTTTCATTGATTCAATAATCATATAGATGCAACTGCTATGTTTTGACTATTGATATACATATTGTTTTTTTACCATGCTTTGAATTCAGTTGTAGGTTTTGGTGAACTGTTGGATTTTTAATGCTCATTATATATGGTTAAATAATTTCAGGGCAGGGTAGAGGAGCAAGGGTGTGAAGCTTGTCAGGATTTCTTTAAGTTAATATTCTTTTTTGTTTTAATTATTCTTTTTTACTCAGCATAATATAGATATAAAATGATTGTGTAGATGTTGAGTAGTGTATATAATTTTTTGGAATGAATATAGATGTGTACATTGTGTTTTAAATTATAGAATATATTTTGCTGTTTATTATTGATATATGGTATTAGATAGCTCGGTTGTCATTTATTAAAAGAATAAATCTTCCAATTTATATTCTGGAGCATCACATCATAGCTTGTAGAGTACAACTTCATATATCAATTTTGAGTGTTGGTCTCCCCTTTTGACTGATCTCTTTTGATTTGGATGCTAGGGGTTTCCTCTTAGGCAAATTCGAGGCTCTAATCTCAATGATGTAATTCGTTTAATAATCGAAGGTTGTTTGACCCTTCTAGTGATGCACCATGCTAACACCCATGTCACTTAATTCTTTAATTTTGCCCCTTTTTCTGATGTATGGGTTAACAAACACACGTTTTATTTAATTGTGTATATTCTTTCTTTGGCTTATAATCATAATTTTGTTGAGGAGGGCGATGTGAAAGATCTTGATTTCTCTTTTGAAATTTTTGGGCTCTAGCTTCATATCCATTCTTTCTTTTATTAGAAGGTTGTTCAAATTATTTTTAATGAGTATTGATAGCCTCGTCAATAGTAATTTGAGCCTCCACTTTGTGAATTATGTCATCATAAGAATGAAGGATCTCTCACATCAATGAAGAATAGAATGGTTTGAGGATATACTTCCAAGAAAAATACCTCGTATGAGTTCTGGATCTACTCATGGAATTTGTCTAGCTTTTGACAATTTTTTTTTAAAAAAAATTATTTTAAAGATTCTCCTTCATTTTGATGGATTCTAAAGAAATGTGATGATTCCTTAATAATTTTTTTGTTGGTAATGAATTATATGACGAAGAGCTTTACAAATGAGCAAAATTGTGGAATGTATTTCTAGGGAGAGTGGAGAACCATGCATGAGCTTAACCCTTAAGGGTGGTAAGAAAAACATGATAAAAAGTGCATTATAATCTTGATGTATATGCATGATTATTATATATTGATCAATATAATCATAAGGATCAGATCATCCATCATAAGAATCAATTTTTGGTAACTTGAACCTTGTTGGAATAAGGTGTATGAGAATCTCGCATTTCAGAGTAGATGAATCTTAGAAATTGCATTGGGGATTAAAATGGTTTATATTCCTTATCGAAAATTCTTTTTCAAATATATGTTGTAACTCATCATGTATAACATTACAAAGAGTTTCTAAAGTAGGTTGATGATTTTGCATCTGATAGGCTCTAGGTGGAGGATGTGTTGAACTTGCAGTATCATCTATTTTTGGATTATATTGTGGAGGAAAATTGGCCTGATGATGAGCATTTTCAAATTGCCCACCTATATTATGTTGACGAGGATGTGGGAGAGGAGCTTCATCATTTTGAGATGACATCTTTTGTTGGACAGCTTCCTCCAGTATTTGCAAGATTTGTGCTTATTGCACCTTCATCATTCAAATTCAAGTTTCTAAGGAATAAGGTTCTCCCCTTGAGTGATTACAATGTCCATGACTGTCATATGGGAACCTAGTTTAATGTGTGTTGGAGTGAGAAAGACTATTTTTGGTGTTACTTTTATCAACCATTGAAGAAAAACTATTGGAAATTATTCCTAAAGACGGTGCCAAACTATTGTGGACTGAAAAATTCACTACAATGGAGTAAGAAGAATACACATCTTAGCAATGCATGAAAGTTCAGTACAAAAACAAATGAATGAGAAAACACAAGGATTTTTACATGAAAAACCTTGAGAAAGGGAAAACCCATGGGGAATTGCCTAATTAAAATGGTTCCATCAGAATTTGGATAAATTACAAAAGTCAATCTGTCCTCAAATCTTAGGATACGGAGAATACAATGTATTGAAAAGTTATACCATTATTCAAACAAGTATTATTGCTGTAAAATTCGGTTGATAGTCAGGAAGAATTTAGACTATAATTGAGAAGAACTCCAATGGAGGTCGAGAAGAACTTTGATGATGGTTGGGAAGAACGTCGATGGTTGGAATGATGTCAGCGGTGGAGAAAAATGTTGGCAATGGAGAAGAAATCTAGAGGTGGTCGGCGAATGCACAGAAGTCCAATGACAGTCGGTAGTCAAGAAGAAATCCTGTGGTGGTCAGTGGCAAAGGAGATCTCCAAGTTTACTCCTTTTTCCTCCTTTCTTCCCTCTCCTTTTTATCTCCCCTTATGTGAAGAATGGGGCCTATTTATAGTTTTTTTTAGAGTGATATAGCTTGTAAATGTGGAGGAGATCAAGGTCAAGTTGGGAGTGTTAGAATTGACATAGACTATTGATTAAGCATTTAAGTGCCTTAATGATGTCAGAATTAAGCGACTTTAAGCTTGTTAGAATCATCTCATCGAGCTACTCAATTTGAATATAAGCACACCATATTCGACGATCATTTGGTTATCCAATTAATGCTTTGAAACCTTCAAACATACCTTAAACCCTTGGTTTTGTCTTGTTCGAGCTCGCTTGGATTGGTTCGATTTTAGTGTCGTTGAGTTCGCCTTATTGAGATGTTCAATTTAACTATAAGTTTGTTGAAATCAGAGTTTGGATGATTCTTATTTTAATTTTGAGAGTTTCTTGCATAGACATGCCTCGAGATTCATGCCTAATCAAGGAAATTTTTTGTCATTTATCAATTCTTGTACACTCGTATTTGCCTAGATTAGGTTGGTCAAGCGTCTTATTAATTTTAACTTTGTTCGTTGAGTCATTGGCCAAAAATAAACTTACAACTTATTTGAAAGGCTCAAGTCATTCTAGAGAAAATCTTGTCCATTCGATCAATGAATTGTCCTAATTTAACCCTTACTATCAAGCTATTGAATTCTCTATCAAGGATGTCTACTCCACAAGGTCATTTGCTCAAATAACTTAACCACTTAACTAAGAGTACTTGTCAAAGTTGTTGTCATAGTCAAATGATTGATGAATAGTTATACTAATTTTCATCATGCATATTTTATATGTTTAAATTATGTTGTGTACCTTCTATTATTTTCTTTGATACTCACCTACAAATAAGTGATTCTCCTTTTTTAATCTCTCGGTGCTCAATTTGACTTTTTTTTTTTGTGTTGCAAAGATCAATCAAGACCTCTATAAACCTAAAGGAATCACAATGAACTTTTGAATCTATTGTGAACCCACGATTGAAATTGAGGGCAAATTGGAGCAACAAGCTCGATCCAAAAAATCTATGGTCGATAATATGGTAAGTGATGCAAAATGCATCAAGAACAATGGATGATAATGCAATTAAATAGAAAAGAGAAGAAAATATCATCACAATAATCTTGAATGATATCCCTTGATATTTGACACATATTGAGAGCAAATTGGAGCAACAAATCAAATCCAAATCAATAGTGGATCATAGCACATGTAAATCAAGCAATTTTATTGATGATATTTCTTCTTCAAGAAAATTATTCTAAAATATTTTGGATATTCTCTTGAGAACATCAAACTTATCATTGGAGATCAAAATATACATATTGTGAACAATAATATTGTAAGTGCATTTATTGAATATACTTTAGAAGAGTTGGTTTTTCAAACGTTTATGATATAGAGTTGTGTCTAAAAAGACTGTTGTCATATTCATGATTATTTATCATGGGATATACTCAAAGAGTTCGTTAAGTGTCCATTGATCAATATTTTATTTTGCAATTTTAGTATTGGTCTAGTTCACAAATAGTGTTAGCTTGAGAAGGTGCAGTTGAATTCTTGTGGATTGATCGAGAAGTTCTACCTTGAGTGCAAATTCATTGTGAGAGGGGGAGTAATATCATGAAACCGCATATAAGCTTTTAATTGTTTCATGAGTTAAGAGATTGATTAGTTATTACTAGTGTGAGGACTATTGTGAGTATGTGATTAACATCTAAATTATTTTAATTAGTGCTGATAAGGATGATTAATTAGTTGAGTTTGTTTAGTATTCTATGAATATTCATAATTATGGAGGATAAAACAATGTTTTCTTTTCTTGTAGTAAATTTTTATTTCTTTCTATGAATCAAAATATTTTTTTTTTTTCTAAAAAGATAATCAGAAAAAATTGAAATAAAATGCTGCGAAGATTCCCTTAGCTTCACCAGCGGTGCCCACATCACATCTACATAAAATCTGCGCATAACTGAGCTTCAGGAAAGACTAGAAGCTCCTTGCGGAAACAGTTGGATGATGGAAGCTCTTTTCTCCACCACTCCATCTCTCAAAGCCTTTTCCCCTTTCTTCTCTTCCTCCTCTAACTTCAATACAAAACCAGCTCGCAATATTTTCTCTTCAATTTGCACTACAACTTTGGGGAGGAATCGAGTTCGTGATCGGACTTTTTTAAGGATCTCTGCGTCTGCTCAATCTGGGCCATCTACCACGCAGACCATTACTTCAGTTTCTGAAATCCCTTTGAAGATGAAGGCATGGGTCTATGAAGAATATGGAGATGTTAATGTCCTGAGGTTAGATGAGGGGGTTTCCGTGCCTGAGGTTAAAGAGGACCAAGTGCTTGTGAAGGTTTTTGCTGCGGGACTCAACCCTGTGGATTATAAAAGGAGGCAGGGGAAGTTTAAGGCTACTGACTCTCCATTACCTGTGAGTTCATGATGCTTGAACTCTTGTGTGTGTGTGTTTTATCTCTTTCTTTTTGTCAAATTTAGTTCATTTTGTTGATTTTTTTTTGGAACAGTTGTATGTGTTGCTTGGTTGTGTATATGTTGAAACTTTAATGCGATATTTTGGTTCAGAATTTGATACAGGATTCAAGGTTTGAGGGTAAATATATTAAACAAACTTGTTTGCTCTTTTGTCAGAGGGATTATGGTTTTAAATTCAGCAAATGTAATTTTTAAACATCATTTGAGATTTAGGTGCGTCGCGTTATCTTTTTTTTTTTTCAGTCTAAATTTAGTTTTAGCTTATGAGTGCGATCGGGCCTTTTTTTTTTAATCTAGCTTTGATGAGATGTTTGGTAGGGAATAATGGTTTTAGGATGATTTTTGAGAATTTTGGAGGGTAATGATTTGAGATAGATGATTTATGTGAAATTTAACACAACTGATATGATAGTTATGGCCCCCTTTTGCTTTGAGAGAGAACAATAATCCCTAAGGTTTAATTAAAATAAAGGGTAGGGCGATCTCCAATGAGATGATTTTCTATGAATTACACCTCCAACTTACACGCATAAGATTAGAGATTGAAAGAAGGATTTTTATTCAAACAAAGATGTTAAGTTACATTACTTACATGTCTTAGAATCTATTTTAGACTTCAATTTCTTCAAAAAATCATTTTGCTTCAAGTCCATGATATGTGAATTTTGACAAAATTGTCACATGCTCATGCATAAGAAACCACTACTAAGTTATCAAAAATGTACATGTAGAGTTTCCTCAATAGGAATAGAAGTCATGCATCTCCTACAGGAGGCAGAACCAGAAATCCACCACAGGAAATTAGTGGCTAAGGAATCCCACATCAACTATAGAAATCTTTTACCCATTATAGGAGATTAGTGCCATTGGAAAATAGTCTTTCTTTAGGGTTTTTTTAATATTCTTAAAGAATTTTATATGCTTAAAATTAGATAACACTTAATATATAATTAATATTACTATGACCTCACATTAGAAATTTCGCAACATATAAGATTTTATTATAATGTAAATTTGACGTTTTGTATTTTATTAAATAAAGTTTTCATTCCCAGTAGCCGTAAAAGGAGATTTTTAAATCTGACATTGCTTGTGCGTTAATTGTCTTCCGGGATAATTTCTTCAAGTTTAATGTTCCTTCTATTCTTATAACAAAGTTGGTTCTAGTTTGTACATTTCAGCATCATTACTTGTTCATTCTTTTATGCGGCAAAAGAAAGTACAACTAACTTTCGCAAGACAGCCTTTCTCCAAGAAAATCAGATACTAGCATTGATATTGCATGCTAGAAGCCAATAAATCAATATCTTTCAACTAACAAATTTTTTTTCTGTTATCATTATAGACTGTTCCAGGTTATGATGTTGCTGGTGTAGTTGTCAAGGTGGGAAGCAAGGTAAAGAACCTAAAGGAAGGAGATGAAGTATATGGGGATATCAACGAGAAAGCTTTAGAGTATCCTAAACAGTTTGGATCGCTTGCTGAATACACTGCAGTTGAAGAAAAATTGCTGGCCTTAAAACCCAGCAATCTGGACTTTGCATTAGCTGGAGGGCTACCTCTAGCTATCGAGACAGCAAATGAAGGCTTAGAGAAAGCTGGATTCTCTGCTGGTAAATCTATTCTTGTATTAGGTGGTGCAGGTGGGGTTGGATCTTTGGTGATTCAGGTAAAATTTTCTATAAACCTTCAAACTAAAGTTGACTATAACGCATTTGTAGAAAAAATAAAAAATGCTTGGACAACTACTTTGCGTACATCTCTTATTTTCTTAATGAATGGCATGCCTTTCTTATCTTAATCCTTTTTAGCAAGTAATCTTTCTGCCATTTTGAGTTGCAACACATGTCAAAGTTATAAGTCACTTGTGAAATATGTGGCTAATTCCTCATTATCAGACTATGCTGGCCAATACAAAAATTTCTCAACAGCCATGATGGATTTTGTCATTGATAAATATTAAGTTTAATAAGCATTGATTTTGCTAAGTATTATGTTAGAACTTCATGAGGAATTCTTGAGAGCTTTTTGAGATTTTCTTGATGTTCTTGTAAGAGAGAGAGGGAGAAGAGGAAAGAGACCAGATTTTTTTTTTTTTTTTTTGAAGAGAAGAGAGCAGAATTTGGAGGAGGAAAACTAGCCTAAAGCTTTATTCAAATTTTTCCAAATTTTTACATCAGTGTATAATGCCTATATATAGGCATTTGCATTGTTGTGGTAACCTACAGGATCAATTTATCCTAAAATTGGACCAACACCTTACATAGTAGTTCTTAAATGTCGCACAAATAGATTATTGGAGCTTTATATAGTGATATGTTTGTAAAGTACTATGTTAAATTTTATTTTTTCTGTAGTTGGCAAAGCATGTTTATGGTGCATCAAGAGTTGCTGCCACTTCAAGCACAGGTAAGTTAGAGCTATTGAAGAGTTTGGGAGCTGATTTAGCAATTGACTATACCAAGGAAAACTTTGAAGAACTGCCAGAAAAATTTGATGTGGTATATGATACTGTTGGTAAGTTCCTTTGTCTCTTGTCTATCCATCATCAGTTTTATTCCAACTGTTTATAACCAATCTAGTTTATTGCTAAATGAGGTATTAAGTATGCTTTATTAATTTTTTAATTCTTCTTTTATCCAAAAGGTTATTGGGTATGACAATGAAGATCATATCGTTACTAGAATCTCACCCACTCAATAAATTATTTAAAAATTTAAGATGTCTTTATATATGGGAAAATTTTAAGACTAAGCCTAATTATAAATTGTATTAAGAGTTTAAGCATGGTTATAAAAAAATTTAAAAATAGACAAAATCGACTGTTAAACGGGTGACTTATGATGACTAGGCTAAGCTGAGTCAGATGGTCGTTATACTGATTAGTCAAAGAGCGAAAAAAAATAATTACCCATAAGTCGCCCGTTTGACGGGCGGGTGACTTACCCTTGTTAATTAAAAAAAATTAAATACTTTTTTGTGAGTACTATTTGAAAGTTAAATTAAAAAAAAAAAAATCTACAAATAGTGCAAGAAGATGATGAGTCATACAAAAATTTTATGTAATCATTTTTTTTTTTTTTGCTTGTACTATAAAATTTTAAATTTGATGTTACTATTCAAAGATTTTTTTTTTTTTTTAGTTGTATTGTCAAATCAAATCTAAGAAATTGTATTATCAAATCACAATAATGACATATCAGTATGTGTTGTAAAATCACTTTTTAGTGACAGCTCAGTGTGTGTTATCATATTAGTTTGTAATGATATATGCCTATCTGGTGACCTTGGTTCCCCCAATCTCGCATGAATGTATAAATATGCAATGCTGTAGTATACTCAGGGTTAAATTAATTTGCATATTCTTATTGAATAGATCATCATGTACTCACCAGTTATGAATTTAATTTGGAACACTCCAACGAAATAGATGATTCAAGAGGGTTGTATTCATTTGAAAGAAAGTTTGGAGTTACCCACTTATGAAATTTTTGAAGCAAAGGCAAAAACAAATGAATATTTTGGATGTTGTATACATTTTTTGAATAAAGATGACGATTGTGCATTGTGGCATGTACATGATGAAGTTATGAAAGTTAAGTTGTATAGGGCCGGTAATGATCTTAAAGATGTGAGCTGGAGATATGTACAACAAAGGTTCAAGGATGATACTCAGCATTGGGTGCGTTGCAGTTCCTCAAGTGTCGAATTCGTGAGATCAGACGCGATAAGGAAGATTGTGTTGAGCATATTATTGAAAGATCATTGCTCGATGTTTGATCATTGTATTCTTTATCACATGTGGCTTCATCGAGAGGATCATTGATGGGGACATCAGATTTTGACATGTGTACCATCGCCGGAGGCGCTGATCGACGGCCATGATTCAGAGTCTTTATTTTTGATGTTTTATTTTATTCATGTCATTTATATTTCTTGTCTTTTTCCTTTTGTACCCCTATGAGAGAATTAATGTTTGTTGTTGCCCAAGGGCATTGTAGTCTTTTACTTTCCGTATGCCTGTTGAGCCTATATAAAGGCTTGGTCTTTGTATTTTGGATAATTTACTTAATGAATGAAAATTTGCTCTCTTTGTTCTCTTTGTGAGTGCATGAAAAGATCTCTTAGTGAGTTCTTCCTTTGAGATCTCTTAGTGAGTTCTCTAGTTTTATTTTATTTTGTTTGTTCATCATCTCCCTCTCATTAGAAGCTCCACAAAAATCCCTTTCCCCTAACCCCACCGCCGGCCCTTCCTTGGATCTCGTCGTCGGCCACCACCACCATCCCGGCCAAACACCTCCTCGACGCTCCTTTCCCCATCCGGTCCACTCCCCTCTCTCATCCAATGTTGAATTTGAAATTTAGAATTCAAATTTTGAATTCTTTCCAAATTTGGATTCCAAATTAGGAAAGTTTGCATGATTGAATCAAATTTCAATTTACTTTAATTTGGAGTTTTCAAAATCCTTGTCCACATCATCCACCTAAATTTGGAAACTCTTCTCCCTCTCTCCCCAACTCTCTCTCCCTCTATTCATGCCGCCGCCCCCCCTATCAAGCCCCCAATTAAGTTTGCATTCAATCCCCTTTTGTGATTTGAAATCACAAATTAAATGCAAATAATCCTCCCTCCAATTTTACTAAAACTGAAAATAACTTCAGTTTTTTTTTAAACTCCTCCTTTCTCTCCCCACCGTTGGCTCCACATTAGCTTCACCGAATTTGTTTTTTTTTTAATTAATGCCTTAATTGCATTAATTAGGATTTTCAAATTCCATCATTATTTCCCTCCTAAAGTCATAAAACTGAAATCAAATTCAGTTTTCTAAATTTCGCCATCTCCCCTCACCCTAACCCCACCGCTGGCCTTCCCCTCTTCTCTCCAACCCGCCGACCACCCATCTCCCTTTCTTTGAGAATTGATCGCGGCAACCTTTCTATCTCTCCTCGATGATGTATGGAGGAACCCGAGTGGAAATTCGGGTTTGAATACGATAACCAAGGGAGAGTTAATATGCTCTGATCGTCGTTCTTCGACGTCGGCTTTGACTTCGACGACACCGTCGAAGAATACTTGGATCGGATCCTACCAACGCTAGTGGATTCCATCGACGACCACTTCTCCTTCTACACGTGGATCATCAAAGGTCGTCGTCACGTGTCTCCTCCACATCCGGCGCCATCCTCTTCTTCCCTACAGATCTACGGCATCGTCATCCTCGGAGTGGTTTCAACACTAGCATGTTTCTTCTTCTCCCAACGAACCTAGAAGTAGATGAATGAGCGTGGCCTCAAGGTGAGACAATCACTTTGTTAACCGCCAGATTCTTGTTGACCACTCATTTCCATTACTTTATTGAAGTTGTTATTTTATAGAACTTGTAAACTTAGTTGAAGTTGATTGGCTAGACTTTGTTAACTTCTAAGATTTTCATTGAATCGTTAAATTAGAGAAGCTTGGGATTGTATTATCATTACTTTAACGAACTTCTATTAATTTTCTAAGAAATAATTCCTGGTTTCACATCAATCATTTCTTGTTAGTTCAATTGAACTTTAATGGGAGTTCTTGAGTTAGGAGTTAAGGAGTTTCTGAATGCAGCAGACTGACAGTATATTCAATAAGAGTTTGAGTACCACTTTAAATACTGTATAACTCAAACACAACTTCAATCACGCATGCATATTATTAAAAAAATATAATTTAATATAATTATTAAGATGTTTTTTCCATCTTAAGTTTAATTTTATCTACTAATTTTATAATGTAATATCTTTAATATTTTGTAATGCTTATTTAATGATAATGTAATAGTTATTTTTAGTTGTTAATTAATATATTAGTTATATTTTTGTAACGTAAAAACTATTATGTTTAAAGTTAAATTGATTCATTACCATTTTATTATTTTATTGCTTTAAGCTAAATAATTAAAAAAAGATATCATCTAGTCATGTAAAAAAATTCATTAATAACATGGTACTAAATTAAATGATTCATAACATAAGCATAATGAAGTAGATAAAATGATCAATTAATGTTGCCTACGTGGCCTCAGTGGCAATCCATCAGTGCCTGGAGTGTAATTCTGTGGAAGTCATTATAGCCTTTGACATAACATGTGATGTTCCTCCACATTAACTTCTTCCTCAGTTATGTCATCTGTATGAAGGGAGCTTGGTACAAAATCTGGCCTAAGGTATTCTTCCAAATCTATTGGCACCTGGTAACTAAAGAGGTCATCTGATGACACTTGATCAGGATAAGAAGAGGGTCCAACAAATCAACTATAATGCTGAGAAGCATCTTCGGTCATGGAAAATGGTGTAGCATGCTCACTTCTATCATCAAAGTATCTTTAATTCCAAATATGTAACTGTTTGCGAAAACCACGGCAAAGCTTCACCACCGTGTTTAAGTCCTTATGTTATTGTGTATCATCTGTACCATTGAAGTGATGTCGCAAAGCATGTTCTGTACCCATGAAAAAATCCCTTTGAATTAACAAGATAAATTTTTAAAATTATTTTACAACAAATTTCATCTAAGAAATTAACACTATGTTCCATATTAACGTACCAGAAGGCACTCTAAGGGAGCTCTAGGATATATCATGGTGGGAGTTTCAACAGTTGCCTTCAATATGTATAGTGTTTCCCATGACTTGTATCACTGTAGGTACTAATGCATCAAGTAGTCACTGTGATGATCGAGAAGCTCCCCTGTAATTATATATCTACGTCTGTTCTCCCATATGACAATGTGGGCTTGGTGGTACAACTTCCAATCCATGTCTGGTTTCTCACGACTATCTACCCTTTTGAAGTTCGAGTTTATAGGTTGTATGTCAATAGTGGGGCACAATCCAAATAATTGTAGTACTTTATCTGGCAAGTTCCACTCAACCATCTTCCAACTAATCAGAGGCACTCATGCAATCCAAATGTTCTCACCTATCAGACAAATTTGTGCGACCTGGGCATGAATATCAGGCGTGTATGGCTACCAAATTACATACATTCAATAATTACTTAGATGAATTGAATAAAGCAAGTAAATTATGCATTTTTTAACATTAAGAAATTATTTGGGTATCAAGCAAATCATTGAGCTCATCTCTATAGCTAATGATGTTACCAACGGACAACTCTTTTAACTGATCCTCATTCCATCTATTATGAATGTATCATAAATAAACTAAATTTATTTGCATATAGTATTATTAATAAATTAAATAAATTAAATTATTTCATACTTGAACCCAACACTAAGATCATGGACTTCCACTGAAAAGAAAACATTAAGTATTGGTTGTTCTACATATAGATGCTTCAAAGCCCAGATCTGTAACAAATAAATGCATCCAGTTATGTTGGCTCTATTTAGTTGTGTTGCTTCTCCTAACTCCTTGTACAAATGGGCTAAAATTGCTCTCCTAAGAGAGTATGTACTAAAAACTGTCAAATCCTCCATAATAGTAAGGCACTGTAAGTGTATCTTTGAACCTGAAGTATCCGGGAAAAGATGACAGCCTAATATGAATAATATGTAAGCTCGAACATGCCTTCAAAAATCCATATCGTTCAAGTTCAAGTCTAAGTAGGAGTTATGCCAAAATGTCTATCTCAATAATCTGAGGGGAATACAAGTTTGTGCATATGTCTGTCCCATACGAAATCTGGATGTGATGTGATGATCGAATTGGTCATGGTATAGAATATATGGTAGTGAATGACTCCCTAGTAGGTCATCGTAGCAATTTGGCCAACTCAGCGCCTCAGCCAACGTCTCCCTGCTCAAACAATAGTATGACTTATCATATGAAGACCATCTATAAGGACACCCAAAATCATAGCAACATCCTGTTAAGTATTGGTCATCTCGTCAACTGTAAGGTGAAAACTATTTGTCTGTGGTGATCACCTCTCCACTAAAGTCGTCAACAGATGGTGGTTGATTCTTAAATATCTCATTTGGCTTACACAATCTAGATCAACCATTCTTAAAGCATCCATAAATCTTGGAAAGTTAATCCACCATTCATGTACCATTAAAAAATGTAATACTACTTTCAATATTATTCCCAACGAAGACAGCTAATTAGTAGCTGTCAGCTTAAACATTCACCATAATCATAATAAGTATAATGAAATGTGATGTACCCTATCAGGATGCTCTGCCCTATATGTACTATGTAACGAAACAATGCTATGATGGAGCTGAGTTGGAGGTGGAGCATCACTAGTACCTTTTCCTAAAGGCTCTTCGGAGGCTCGTTTCTTTCTACGGCATCGTTGGTCAGTTGCATTTAACCTGAAAAAATTAAGAGAATTAAGACTACGTATTAAGCAATCAGAACATAAATTATACTACGAAATCAACATTAGCAAATCAACATTTACCAAAAATTCATATCAATATTAATGTTGATTTCGTAGTAAAATTTATTTTCTGATTGCTTAATACGTATTTTTAATTCTCCTTATTTTGTCGGGTCAAATGGCAACTGACTAACGATGTTTTAGAAAAAAATGGGCCACCGATGAGCCTCCAGAAGAGGGTATTAGTGATGCTCCACCTCTAACTCAGCTCTATCCTAATATTGTTTCGTTATGTAGTGCACATAGGACAGTCCATCCTAATGGGGTCTATCACGTTTCATTATACTTATTATGATTATGATGAATGTTTAAGTTAACTGATACTGACTAATTGTCTTCATATGAAATAATATTTAAAGCAGCATCAGATCTTTTAATGGTAAACAAATGACTGGTTAATTGCTCAAAGTTTATTGATACTTTAAGAATGGTTGTGCTAGTTTGTATACGTCAAATGAGATATTTAAAGATGGACCACCATCTATTGATGGCTCTAGTAGAGAGATGGTCACCTCAGACAAACAATTTTTACCTTATAGTTGGGTGAGATGACCATTACTTTGCAAGATGTTGCTATGATTTTGGGTTTCCATATAGATGATTCAGAT